CATTGTATCTCATGTGGTGTGCAGATACGTTTTTCTTCACAGTAGTTTTTAAACTTGGTTCGCCTTGCGGTTGTTTAATGCGGTTACATATACAGATTAACTTAAGTCTGCTGCTGGTGCTGCTGCTGTGGCTGTTGCTGACATTTGCAATTGCAATTTTTTTTCAGTTTTTGGTGTAAAAGTTGCAAAATGCACAATTACGAGATTGGAAAAACTACTTTCTTTCGTATGTTAAGCACAATTTGTGGTAATTTACACTTGCCACTTGTAATTCAAGCCACTTAAGTATACTCAATCGCACATACTTAGCACTAGAAAGGATATGGGCGTATGTAGCTGCGTAAGTTTAAATACATAACGTAATAGCAAAATCCTTTAGTCACTTTTATAATGTAATTGCCGTTGTTGTTGTCGTTGCTGTTCTTGCTGCTGAGGGAGTTGTTGAAACTGTTAATGTTGCATGTCACTTACAGTGTTGCTATAACAAATTGCTAACGCATTAGTAGGCAATTACTTGTGTTGATTTTAATAAAATTGCCATTGTAATTGAAATATGAGAACGAAGACAAATACAAGTAGTATAAGTGTAACCATATATAGTCGTATAGTTTCAGTACGGTTGTAGAAGACTTAAATAAATCTAACAATGTTGTTAAATAAGCTCATCAAACTCATTGTTGAGGAAATAACATTCAAAAAAGAAAAATTTATTTGTTCGCGTATAGTAAAAATATTTATTACTTCATTGCATTTGCCAAAAAATTCGTCAAAATGTCAGACGGTCTTAACGAAGATGTATACTCGTTGCGTAAAAAGTTGCAGCTCTGGAGCAATTGAGATACTGCGGATGCAACTAAAATATGTTTGCAGTTCCACCGCTGCCAACGAGTTTTCAGTTTCTAGCATTTCCGTCTGCCACAGGAATTCTTTACAAAAACAGAAATCGCTATACCCAAATACATTCTTGTTTACCAAGACTTGATGGATGCCTTTGGTGCATTTTTGGTAGAATTTATGTGATGCATTTTTGTGGCAATGATCTATTGATGTAGTATAAATTTTTTTGTTTTTATTATAACTGTTTTAAAAAGAGAAACTCTTAAATTCAAAGTCTGTTTGCCACGTGTAATTTAATTACTTACTTGTATTTACACTGTAGATTGTATTACATGGACTAACCTCGTTAAAATACTTTGAACTTCAAGCTAATGATAAGATAATGAAATCTAATAAGCCACAAGAATTTAGAAATATAGAAATATATACTAGAAATGAATTCTACGAATACAAGCTTTGTATGTAGAAATAATACCCTTTATGTTTATATAAAAAATTAGACTGTTTTCAAAAACCATATGAATGTACAGAAGGAGTATGTTGACCCAACAAAAGGATGATTTCTCTAAAACACCGCCATTTTTTAGTAGTAATTGTTATTACCATAAGTTCGATTAGGTTTAATAATGAATATGTTTGTTAAAATTTACATACTGCGTTGGAAGACTCTCTTATGGCTCTTATTAAGATGTCCTTGCTAACGCGTTGGTTATACCTATCAAAGATGGTTCCAATGATGCTTAAATTACTAATTTTAAAGTTATCGACATTAGTTCAACCTATTAATTTTTCATGAGAATCGTATGATGCTTTCTTTATTAGTTTTTTATGGTTCTTAGGACTCTTTGCAAAAAGGGAATATTTTTGTAGATATGTTTTTTTGCAGGAGTTGGCGTCTTCTTCTTGGCAGAGGTCGCACACACCTACAGTTGCAGAGGTTAGTTAAGCTGCTGGACTTGAGGGTCTATTTAAAAACGATTGCTTATAAAGAAGATAGCAATACCGATTTTAATATTATTATAGTTAATTACCAGTTTTATTTGGGTTTATATAGAGCGCGTTTTGACTTGGTGGTAGTGGTTCTGATTTACCATCTACTTTGAAGCTTTATGGGAAAACAAGCGTGTATAAGAAACTGATTGATAAGTGAATTACTAGGGAATAACTAAAAATTCAGCCTTCGTGTCCGAATCGGTTGCAATTCGGAAGTTATTGTGGTAGTCGCTGTATTCTAACTACCAGATGAGGGGTAAGCGTTGTGTATACTAAACTCATTTATAGAAACAACGTACGATTTAACGACTTTTGATTTGACAACTAGAGAGTGTAAAGCTTTGAATGCTACTTAAGTATCAGTAAAGAACCTTTTATTGGTCTCATACATATGATACCTTCATAATATGTTTGTCTTGCAAAGTCTGATAATTTCTATGACACTTTTATTATGTAAATTCTTGACCTACATCTCATTGTTAATATTTAAGTAATAAGTGAAAATTAAATATTGACCTTAAATGTCAGCAGACTTAGTTTATTAGAGAAATTATTCCATTCCTAGTTTATAAAAGTAGGTTTACCAGATTTTGTTGAGTTTTATGATTATTGATCTATCTTAGACTGTATTAAGTGCGAAGAGTGCTCTAAGTATAATTAACTTTTAGATGCAGTTTATTCCGTTTCCTATTTTGACAGCACAGTCGATAGCTGCTTAGAATATTAAATAATATGTGTGGGACTTTTGGGAATGTTGACCTCAAGTAACCGGTTTTTAAAACATAGTTATATTTTGGATGATTCATAGAGATCTTAGAATTACCACAGTCACAGATGAAATTGACAGCAACACACAAAAGTATAAAATAAAACTCAGCAACCACCAAAACCCTCTTGCAAATAATCTTATCCAAAGCACTGGAACCCAGCGACTCAAACGAAACTATATAAACCCGGCTATTCAAGCAAAATGCCCGACATGGAAACGAAATTGGACGTAGCTTCGGTTAAGGGCATTAAATTATCTATTGATTTCTTTTCTAATACAGCAATTAGCAGCGATAATTTATTATTAGTTCTAAGTTGATTTTTAGCAGATCCACTTAAAATCAAAATAAAAAAAAAAACTCTTTTGGACTTGATCTAAGTTTACAGATATACTCAGAACCTGGAGTGATGGTCATCAAATGCATAAGTCATAGCGTAAAATCAGTTTGACGGTTTATATTACTCATTAAAGTATTTTACCATTACACAATATTATATATGTATTTTTATATGGAAGCACTTCATATGCGATTAATGTCAATAATCACCCAATCGTATAATATTTCAATTTTCTGCTATTCTCGAAGGACTATAAAAACCCAAAAATTTTGCGCTTATTTAATGTTCAACATTTACAGTAATGTGGCGAATACGTGCATATCCTTGAACATCCTTAAGCATTATACCACGGCAGCTAAATTTGGTAAGTCACGTTTATAGAGGTCACGTACAACATAAAAAGGATACAAACAACAGG